CATGTAAAAATACATTTAACTTTTCGCCCCACCCATTATTTAACTTTTCGCCCCAGGGTGCGTTTTTGGCTTTAACAATAAATATAAAAAATCTGACCAAAGATATTTGGCAAATACCTTTAGGTATCTCTTCAGGGGACCCAAATAAGGATCTAAAAAAATTGCGATGAGAATAAATTTAAAAAATATACTTAAAAGTTGATATTTTCTTTTTCGAAAAAATTTTCAAATAGGTTAAAAAAAAACTTTCAATATAGACACCACAAAAATGAACAGAATTGCACACAACTCCGGACATTTATTTAGGGTTATAACACCCTTCTATAATAAAAATTGCAATGCTCTAACTATTTTCGTTCGAAAGATAATGAATTTTAACGGTTTTGTCAGTTTAACTTTTCGCCCCAGTCTCCCCTAATTAATAAAATTAATTTATAATAAAAAATATTAATAATTAGGTATTAATAAAATTAATTAATAATATTAATAATTAATAAAATAAATTAATAATATTAATTAATAAAATTAATTAATAAATATTTACAATCATTTTAATTTGTTATTAATTAAAAATTTAATTAATTTATTATTAGGTATAAATTAATAATATTAATTAATAAAATTAATTAATAATAAAAAATATTAATAATTATTAATAAAATTAATTAACAATATTAATTAATAAAATTAATTAATAATAAAAAATATTAATAATTATTAGGGTAGAGTGGGGCATTACTATTCGCGGGGCGTAACTATTCTTTGTCCTGGAGAGAAAACTATTCAGCCGATTAAAGTTTTTTTTACACTGTATACTTGTCATGTGAAATAAACATTGTATGCCACATTTGAGCTTCTAGCGCCATCTATCATAGGAGTTAGGTACCCAAATGTGATTTTGATATACTCGCTTACTTGTTTTCACTCATTTAGTCTGCCATTGTAAATAGTGATAAACGGTCGAAAAAATTATCGGAGAAAATATTTCCAAAGTCAAATTTAGTGCTGAACACGAATATCATAATAGATTTTTGATATTCTATTGTTCAAAAATTTTACAAGTGTTTTTTCAAAAAATGAGCGGATGGGGCGTAACTATTCTTCCACTGATGACAGCAAAAACTACAAAACAGTGTATTTTTTTTTATTCTCCTTGTTTCTAGGTTAGAATGGTAAGAAATTGTCAGAAAAAAACCAGAAAAAATCCTTCAATGTTCGAAAGTGAACAATATATCCCCAAGTGTTAAAATTGAAGTGAACTGTAAATCAACCTTTTATTATACACCAATTTGCAAAATATAAATTTTAAACAATTTCCAAAATTAATTAAGGAAGATTTCGACTATATCAGCAATTAGTGACATCTATTAGAAGTCAATTGAACTCTTTGGTTTAGAGTCAGGTGTTATTCTTAAGATAATTATTCCGATATGGTTGTCGGTAAATAATTATATTTTTTGAATTTTAATTTTTGATCTGAAAAAATAAGCTGCGTGAACGACTGCACTGTGCATCTGTGAGGACTCGAACCCCAGTTAATAGCTGCCTTTCGCGGGACTAACGCCTACCAATGCACCATGCCAACACAGCCTGGACGTTCACGTTTCTTATAATCTCAGATCAAGCCCATACACTAGTCGAAGAGCTGTATAGTTAATGTAGGAAATTATTTGCTGATGAAGAATTTTAATTAAGGAAGATTTCGACTATATCAGCAATTAGTGACATCTATTAGAAGTCAATTGAACTCTTTGGTTTAGAGTCAGGTGTTATTCTTAAGATAATTATTCCGATATGGTTGTCGGTAAATAATTATATTTTTTTTTGAATTTTAATTTTTGATCTGAAAAAATAAGCTGCGTGAACGACTGCACTGTGCATCTGTGAGGACTCGAACCCCAGTTAATAGCTGCCTTTCGCGGGACTAACGCCTACCAATGCACCATGCCAACACAGCCTGGACGTTCACGTTTCTTATAATCTCAGATCAAGCCCATACACTAGTCGAAGAGCTGTATAGTTAATGTAGGAAATTATTTGCTGATGAAGAATTAAAATTAAAATTAAAATATTAAATTAAAATTAAAATTCAAAAAATATAATTATTTACCGACAACCATATCGGAATAATTATCTTAAGAATAACACCTGACTCTAAACCAAAGAGTTCAATTGACTTCTAATAGATGTCACTAATTGCTGATATAGTCGAAATCTTCCTTAATTAAAATTCTTCATCAGCAAATAATTTCCTACATTAATTTCCAAAATTATTAAATTGGAAATAATCTCAACAATCAAAGATCTAATATTGAAACAACACATTCCAAATTTCGAACCATCGAAATTTGCTCAAGAGGCGACAACCGTCTGGAAGAAAGCAGATATTTTCAAAATACAATACACTATCTCATTAGTGTAAACAAGAGGATTAATGCCCAACCATTAAGGACAACAAGCAGAAGGCCCCTTTTCGTCTAGTGCTCAACACCATTGAGATTAAACAGGAGATTATCATCACACCACCAGTAATCGTTATTCTTTAAGTAAGATTCATAATTTTGTACTCATTGTAATTTTGTCAACTCTTTTCTTTCTTGTTGGTTTTTAAATAAATTATTCTCTCACATTTAGTAGGCTCATTGACTTATCCTCATCCCAAATTAGATTCATTTATGAAACTAATTTAAAACGAGGAACGCTAGGTATATTTAAAAAGGTTTCTCGTTTTGACGTAACATTGTTAATAATAGTGCATTAAAAAAATGGAAGTTGTTTGAAAACAGTAAATATTTAGGATATTCGAATTTAGAATTCTTTTTTAATTGAATTAAAAATCAAAAAGTAATATAGAAAATTACATGTAATAATTTACTATTTACATTATTTTTATATAATAATTCAACTAATTAATTAAAAATTTTAAAATATTATATAATTTTTATTCTATTCCATTTATTATGTATATTATAATGGATACAGAAATTTTCCAAAAATATTTTTTATTGAATTTCTTTGGTGCTAAATAGAAATTTTATATTAATTGCATGAAATAAATGTGTAAACTACAGTAAATCTTAATGTTAAACAAATTTTCAGTATTTTAAAAGAATTAATTTGTCTAGTTTTTCTACAGAACCGTTGACCAGAATTTATAAAGTTGGGCTAGATAATAACTTGATGAAAAAAGCGTGACACTCCATTCCAGTTGGCTTGTAAAGTAACTAGACAATTTCAAGCGTGACTGGACAGTTCCTTTATAATAACTAGGACAAATTTCTACTAGGGTATTACTTTTACTAGGTTAAGGCAGTAGTCTCCTTTATAGGCTTAAAAAAATCGACTTTTTTTGTGTCTTAAATCTATTCCAAAATTATCCAAGAATATGTCTTTAAAATTTTAGAGGCCAATTTGACATATTTTCGAAGGTAGAACAGATTTTGTGACCGATCGTCGAGCACGTGTGAATGCTCGGGCAGACCACAACACGCACGCTCCGCCCCTTCATGCGTTCTATTGTTTACCTAACCTTGTATCACCTTGTATACACCTGAAAAGGTGTATACACACACTCAAAATTAGAACAAAGCGTTCAATTCTCTTGTGTGGCGATTAAACCCAAAACACGTCAATTCCGGCTCTAAAATCGTCGAAATAGCGGCAAATTAGGTTTGACTGTTTCAGATGCATCGTACGACCATCGAGTAATATAAGGAGACTTAACGGTCATGCCAGTATGATGTGAAAAGTGTGCCACCTTTTCGTACTACAAGTCCTCTCGTCTTACTTTCCCGGACGTCACGCCCCTCGTGGATAAAAATTGTACTTCGGTTGTAAACAAGAACACATGACAGAACCTACAGCAGTAAATTTTTGTAATTTTAAATAGTGGACAAATGCACTTCTTCTCTTTTAATTGAAGAAGGACATAAATTGTCTTTCTTTAAACCAAGGGTTCTTTTAAATATTTGACTAATAACTTTAAATTGTAATTTGTTGAGTAATGAGAAGGCCTAGATACGGTTTGTTTTTTAATGAAATTTATAAAAATCTAGGCCTTCTCATTACTCAACAAATTAATTAATTCGGTCAAACAAAAATCACAAATTTAAATTGTAATATTTGTTGCTGCCATTTATTAAGAAAATAGTTATGAATATTGAAAGCAAATTGTTTCACAAAAAGAACAAAGAATTGCTGAGGAGTCATGTCATTTGTGAGTTGCATTTTAAAGAAATGCATTTAAATACACAAACACTAATTATCTGTTACGATTTATGAAAATACCTACATAAATAATTTATGTAAACACTGAAAAACTTTTCAACTTTAAAAATATTTAATTTCTATAAACACATCGAGCATCTGACAGTAGCAGACGATATTTAGTTGGTTTTTGAAGCTCAAATACAGTAGAATATCACCCAAAAATTTCGTTTACCGCAATCATTTCCTTCCCTTTCAAAAAAATTCCTGAAAAAACGATTTTCTTCGCCTTCCAAAGGAGACTACTGCCTTAAGATTAAGGCCCTATATAGTTACTCTCTAAATTTGAATCAGCGAAAAGTCGCTGATTCACTAGCCCAGAGTATGCAGCTGATGAAACAGCGTATATACGCTGGAAAATCAGTGCATATACGCTGTTTTATCAGTGTATATACGCTATTTCATCAGCTGCATACTCTGGGCTGGTGAATTAGCGACTTTTCGCTGATTCAAATTTAGAGAGTATATAGGGTCATAGTTAATAATACCATCGAGATTTTTTTTTCGTTGTATAGGAAACTACTATTTAGGGGCCAAAAATCAATTTTTTATTTTTTAGAGAAAATAAGTTTCATAATAGGTCAAAATGGTCAAAATTATTCCCTAAGTGTGGACCAAATCCAGGAGGGGGCACTTTTTACATGCTTATACTGCTACGGCCTTTGTATATTTAACTTTTATAACTAGAGAAATTAAAACAAAAGAAAATAATACAAGGGAATTATTTTTTCAAGGCGGTTCTAATATTGCCAAAGGAGTATTAATCGATCAACCAATTCATCAAAACGGTCTCTTGAAGAAAAATGGAATAGTGAAAGGAACAGTGAATCTTCTTCAAAATGGTGGTGTTCATTTGCCGAATGGATTTGTTCCTGGTAACAATAGAGTGGCGCCTTTAAATGGCCACAGTGTGAATAATGAAAGGAACCCAGTAAGATCAATGTTTAATGAAGTCGACGGATAAAAGAAAATAGAAATTTTCAAATTTACTTCTCTTTCTCTATCGAGGGATTTTTTTCATTAATAATTAAAAATATTTTCGCATTTTTAAAATCAATTTCTAGAAAAAATTTTTATATTGAAAAAATTTCTCCCTTATTTTAAAATAGAAGTAAATTTTACTGAAAATTGAAAAATTAGAAGAATAAAACATTTAAAGACTTAAAAATAAGAAACAAAGAAAGATTTTCTTTAACTAGCCAGCAGTACTTTTAAGTTAGACTTTCAATTTTCTTTTACTTCAATTTTCAAATAAGTACGTATAAAAAAACGTACACATTAGGGTGTCCGTTATTTCCCAAGTTAGCTATTTTCATTTGGGTATCGTCAAAATCGTTTCTTTTTGACCTAAAAACAATTCTAGAAACTAGAAAAAAATTTTACGATGCCGTTTAACCCTGCCTAAATAACAATACTTTTTCCATTTAATTAACATGGGATTTTTGCACTTTTTAGAAAATAATTTTTATTTCGTTTATAATACTCTTTGACTGACCAACAATCAAGAGAATTTTTCTTTAAATATTTATTTTTGCAAATTTTCAAATTGTTAACAGAAATTTTTAAAAACAAATAAATCGTTATAACATTGTTGACGTAAACGTTAACAATTTGAAAATTTGTAAAAATAAATTGTTCAAAAAAAAAATTCTCTTTATTGCCAGAATGGTTTAGCCCGCTTGAAATTCATAGGAAATGTTCATAATTATATTAAGAATTTGTAGTAAAAATTTGATAACAAAAAAAGGTGGTGTTTTTGAAAAAATTGACCTTATTTATTTTCAGAAAATCATCCCCTATTTTTATCATTTTAAATATTTTTTCAAATTTCAAACTGGATTGTGAAGAGGACAAGACCATCTACAAGACCCAAGAAAGAAAATTAAATTATACTCAAAAAAAAAGAATGACAAGCAAAACAATTTTTTTCTATAACATGAAGTTAGTCGATCTGCCTGATTTGAAATGGATTTAGTCTACTGTCTGATTCTTGGATAGTTAATGAATTGAAATTATTGTTACGGTCCAATTGGATGCATAAAACAAGAAACTTTCAATGAAATACCGAATAAAAATTAATTAATAAGTAGATTTAGCAAAATAATCAGAAAAATCAATAAAAATGAAATTGACCTTTTTAAAACTTGTGTAATGAATTTTTCGCGATAATATGAAAATTTCTCTATCTAAAGGAATCATAATACACTCGAATCTTGATATAACGAGCTCTTGATACAACGAACTGTCAACTCTCGTTACAACGAGAAATATTTCTCCTCTTTTATCCCCACTATTTGAAAACATTTAAGCATCGTTTTTTTTGCACATGACATTAATTGCAGTTACTTAACTTCACACAAATAAATTGTTTAAGAGTGGGGCCCCCTCACGCAGTCGTTATATCGAGATTTTTGGATCCCTCACTTCTCGTTATATCAAGATTCGAGTGTAGAAGCAAAATCAAGCATTGTTGGTTAGTCAAAGAGTATTATAAACGAAATAAAAATTATTTTCTAAAAAGTGCAAAAATCCCATGTTAATTAAATGGTTAATTAAACAATTCTAGTTTCTAGAATTGTTTTTAGGTCAAAAAGAAACGATTTTGACGATACCCAAATGAAAATAGCTAACTTCGGAAATAACGGACACCCTAGTACACATACACTACACTGAGAAAACTGGAGTATTGGACTAAACATCTGGAGGGACAAATCGTTCATATTTGAGAGTTAGCTATTGGATAACAATCTAAATGTTCAAATACACCATTGACAGATATTCGTGCCATTTCTCTTGGAGGGAAAACGAGTTTATAACAGAGGGACAAATTAACCATCTTGAGAAATCCCTTCCTTATCCAGCGCGAAATGAATAAATATGGCAACCTAACCCCTAAATTAAATACATAAAATGTCAGAAAAATAATTTTGCGCGCATCAGATCGTACACATTTTCTGCGCAACTTTTAACCCTCAGATATAATGGGAGAGAATATACAAGTAGATTTCCATTATAAATTCAAAATTTATGTTAGAAGGACTATTTAACTCTCTTCATAAGCAAAGGAAAAAGTGTATACTTTTTGAACCTCTGAATTTGACTCTACAGTTTTCTCAAAGTACCGGTGGAAATTGTGCGACCGCTAACACCTCGTTAAACTCGTTAAACACTAGCACGCAATTAACTTATTTGTTTATTTATAATTTAATGTTTTATTAAAAAATGAAAGCATATTAAATATTCTTATTAGATTCATAAAAATCAGTATACAATAAAACAATGTAATTCCCTATTTACGTGTGTCCAACGGAATAATGTACTTCGTGTGAGAAGAGTGAACATAATTCCGTCTATTTAAAAAAGTCATTTTTATGTAAAAGAAACTTTTCAAAATAACTCAGCAATAGAAAATATAATTTAATTAGGTCTTAGTTACTCAAAAAATGAAAAAATATATTAAAAAATATTCACACTTTACTTTTCTTATCCTTACCCAGTAAAAAAAGAAGTATTGAGTGGAGCGTTTAGGAATTGAGTGAAGCTCTGAGCTAATACGGATTCGAGTAAAAACCGTATTCGGACGTCTGACTCAATCTTTTTTTCATCCGCCGAATACGGTCTTATTTTAGCATTAAAATTAAAATCACAAGACCAGAGTACACATTATAAATTGAAAGCACAATTGTCCTGGAATGTAAAAATGCCGATTTCGATAAGAAGCAGTGAATATTTGTTAAAAATTGGTAAAAGCAAAGTTTGATAAGCGCGACTGAATTTACCATGTGAATAAATGAAGTGGTAAGTTTAAATGGACGAAATGGACTGAAAGAAATCTACTGTTACCGACAGAAAGTTCCTAGAAATTGTGGTAAATTCAACAAAACAATGAAATTTCATTGTTTAACAATTCTCTAGGAACTTTCTGTCGGTAACAGTAGATTTCTTTTCGTCCATTTAAACTTACCAATTCATTTATTCACATGGTAAATTCAGTCGCGCTTGTCAAACTTTGCTTTTACCAATTTTTAACAAATATTCACTGTTTCTTATCGAAATCGGCATTTTTACATTCCAGGACAATTGTGCTTTCAATTTATAATGTGTACTCTGGTCATGTGATTTTAATTTTAATGCTAAAATAAGACAGTATTCGGCGGATGAAAAAAAGATTGAGTCAAACGTCCCAATACGGTTTTTACTCGAATCCGTATTGGCTCAGAGCTTCACTCAATTCCTAAACGCTCCACTCAATACTTCTTTTTTTACATTTTGTTTATGTACTCAAAATAAAATTTTTTGTCCAACGCCTTCGTGGAAATAGAACTATTGTACGCTAGGCACCAATGGAGGAATGTAGAACATTTCCCCACTGGTGGTTTGGCCAGTGGAGAAATGAAGTCATTTCCCCACTGGTGGTGGAATGAGAAATTGACTAATCGATTTTTTATTTTATATTAGAATTAGAACATTTTAGGAACAGAATTTTGAGGACACTCTGGGGATCTTTAGGGACACTTTCAAAACATTCATTTTTGAAAAAATTTTTTCCAAAATTTTTTTTCAAATTTTTTTTTCTATTTTTAGATTTTTTCAAAATTTTTTTCAAAATTAGATTTTGTTTCACTCTCAGTTATTGCTATAACATCATTGTAATATTTTGATTTCGATAAATAACGAGTAAAGTCAACTTAAAATTTTGAAAAATTAATAGTTTAAATTTATTATTTATAAAAAAACTTTTTTGCAGTTGTTGGACAAAATAGTATGTGCAACTTGTGGAGAACAGCGATTTTCGCTCGCTCGATTGCTGCGCGCGCTACGCTTGCGCAGCAAACTTCGACTGAGCGGTATGTTTCGAGCAGGAAGGAAGAGTAAGGAGACCGAACTCTGTGTAGAAAGCGCTTTAAAAATCTTAGAGAAATATGCACGAAAAGTGCCAGGCTCACTGTGTTCTAGTCGACCTCCAATTAAGTTGATCATGCGCATAAGCTGTGTTGTGTCTCTGTTTCTCGTAAAAATTGTGCGAGTGAGATGTAAGATCTAATGTTTACATTTAGCCGGTCTTAGTGAGATACATACATAATTATACAATACATTTCGTTTTAATAATTATTTATTTATTTTATTTAAAAAATGTCGTGTTGTCTGCCAGGATGTAAAGAAAGAAAAAGAGTCTAAAAACATTAGTCTCTTCTATCCTTCTACGGTATGTAAATATACTCTAGTTATAAACACAATTCTTCTTAACCATTTTCGCAAAATTTTTCCCTTTTCATAAATATATTATTAAATTTTATTATTTTGAAAATCTAAATAATATCACAATTGCAAATAAATAAATTTGCTTTTAAAATTAACACTTTTTAAACTATATAATATTTACCTTGACATAACCACACTTTTCATCTATGTCAACACTGAACTTTAGTTCAGTGCGCATGATCGACTTAATTGGTGATCAACTAGAACACAGGACAGCATAAAGCCAGTATAGTGCCAATCAAATTTAACTTAATCTTAAGAACACAGTGAGTCTGGCACTTTTCGTGCATATTTCTCAGACATTTGTAGAAGCAGAGTTCGGTCTCCTTACTCTTCCTTCCTGGTTTCGAGTGACAGCTACATAACTGGAGGTGATTTTCGTAAGGATAAGAAAAGTAAAGTGGGAATATTTTTTAATATATTTTTTCATTTTTTGAGTAACTAAGACCTAATTAAATTATATTTTCTATTGCTGAGTTATTTTGAAAAGTTTCTTTTACATAAAAATGACTTTTTTAAATAGACGGAATTATGTTCACTCTTCTCACACGAAGTACATTATTCCGTTGGACACACGTAAATAGGGAATTACATTGTTTTATTGTATACTGATTTTTATGAATCTAATAAGAATATTTAATATGCTTTCATTTTTTAATAAAACATTAAATTATAAATAAACAAATAAGTTAATTGCGTGCTAGTGTTTAACGAGTATGTCG